CTAGAAGTTGTTCCACCAATATTTCAAATACCAGTATTATCATCAAGGTGGACAGGTTTCAGCAGAGCTTACAAACTGAGATAGACGAGAAGGAAAAAGTTGGGAACCAAAAAATGCGCCAATGGAAATCATGGATCCCATCAGAATGTTTTCTGAAAGATGCTCGGAGTACACAGAGACTGGCATGATAGACTCAAGCTATCAGAGACGGTGCAAATGGCAAATGAGCGGGTTAGCGAGAGCTTGATAGCAAGTAACACAATGGCTATAACACGCTGCTTTAAGGATAAACCATGTTCCTTTCACTGGAAGTATTAAAGACCAGTCGACATTTCTTCTATTAAGACTACTGAAAGGGTAGGGGAAAGGTGGAGAGAGGTGGGGTAGAGGGGAAACTGATCACAATGAATTGGCACATAACCCCCCCACACCCCTCCAGGGGGGAAGAACAACAGGGGGGCAGTGGTCATTGTGAGATATAAAAATAACAACAATCTAGAATCTATCAAGAGGTCAAGAGGGCACAGAGAAGAGGGAGAGAAGAAAAGATGAGCTGGTCCCGGGGGCTTAATAGAAGGTAAAGGTTTAGAAAAGAATAACAGCAATATGTGTACAAATGTGTCTGATGCAATTGATGTATGGATTGTAACAAGAGTTGTAAGAGCCCCCAATAAAATTATCTGAAAAAAAACCAAAAATCTTACTGATGTATTCACTTACATAGTTGGGTCAGGAGATTTCTGTGTCCCTTCCTAGTATTGTGTGATTATTAATCTCTTTTATCAAAATGACTTTGCATTTTAAAAGCCTATGTAACAACTTAACTTTTAAAATACATTGAGAAATTCTGTGACACTTTAATATATAGGCATATATAGATGTCCAAACATGTGATATGAAAATATAAATGGGCCTTTTCACCTTTGATTGAGATCAGTACTCAGGACCATCAATTTTGGGGGGGCTCACTGTTCATAGAGCTGTTTTGGGGGGGCACTCAATATATTGCTGTTAAAAATCTACTCCCTTATTAATTAATTTATTCAATAAATATTTATAAAATATTTATCAAAGGCAAACAGGGCAATCTAATATTTTCTTACATTATGTTTTAGAACTGCTATGCTAAAAAATATATATATGGATACTTTTTCGGGTGATATAAGGTTGTATTTTATGGGAATAGCTATAATAAATACTTTGGCTCCAAAGAAATAATGAAGAAACTTTAATATTTATCAATTTTAAATTTTAAAAATACATAAAATTATGTATGCAATATAAACATCTATGAGATATGCATGTATGTACACAACATTCAGTACTTATGAAAACAGAGCATGGACCTCCAACACCTTTTCTTACTAAAAATCAATCATGTATTTATTCTACTGCCTATATAGTTTATAAATGAAGCATATATAAGGATTGAATTTGAATTAGGACAACAATAAAGACTTCTTTATTAGCTTATTAATATGTGCAGTGATAAAGATATTGGCAACTCACTGTTCGTTAGGTAATATCTACTCACAATATATAGCATAAAAATCTCTGTGAGAACAAACTTTATGGAGATGGATACTGAAAATATTTATTTTTTATCTATTCCCTATCAATATAATGTGAACATAGGGCAAGAGGCTATTTTCTGTCATCTGAACAGTTTCTATTCGTCTCTGTTAAACAGAACATTATTGGATTTGTTTAGATCATTTAGCTTTACTTTACTCTTGACAGGTTGATTTATCCTTGACTTTATAAAATTTAAGCTTGAGCTCAAAATATATTTATAAGGAAACATGATAATCTATAATTATTTTTTAAATATAACATAATCATTTTTATAAAACATAAACATAATCTCATGCAAGGCAATCCAGGTGTTTTTGGACATTCTTGGAAAGACTGATTTGGGGAGAAGGACCAAAGTTAATAAAATCCATCTTTGATGTTATTTAACACAGAAGCAAACACAGATCTTTTTATATTTGACATTAAAAATCTGATCATTTGCCTCCCTAAAGAAAGCGTGTACAGCTTTTATACAGACTGCACAGTAAAGAATAATATTTCTGTTTACTGAGATATCAACTGGCATTTCACTGTAAGTCAATGGTCTATCGTTGCTACAGCATATTAGACCTCAATCTGGCATCTACAAATGTCAAGAGTATAAAAAAATATAGGATGAATATCAAAAGCATGTTCTGAACTCCCCCCAAAAATGAAAACAGGGAAACAAAGTTCACCTAAACATATTTGCTGCAGAAATCAGTGCAATATTCAGCTGTCAATCTAGAAAAACAAGGAAAGAGCCCCGCTGTCAGCAGGACAGGATAATACAATTTCCGGCAGATGTTCAGGCAGGGCTCTAATTTTTATGGAACTCCCTTGGTAAGCATTTAATTTCTTTATCATATGCAGGCTGGGAAAATTGTACTTCATCAAAACTGTATTTTGAAATATTAATATTTCATAGGATAACAAAACTCCATAGAATAACCTTTGTCATATTAAGAACATCCAAATTTCAAATGTCAAGATTTTGAATTTTAATATATTTTAAGCAGCTCTTTGAATTGGCCTAATAAATTATAATACGGCTAATCAAAATTGGTATTCTATAATGTCACACAATATAGAGTACGTAGAATATTTAGACTAAAGGGCTGGGAAAACCATGTGTTATCATTCCCATGTTCTCATCCATAAAAGGGGGAGAACTCCTTAGGCATATGTACATATTCACAACAGGCTTACTCATAAATTAGGGACAACATAACAAAACAAAACAAAAGAGTAAAGGAAAACTGATTATTTTGGAAAATCATCTATGAAAATAGTCATTTTTGAAAGTGGCAATTTATAAGCCTGTACAAATTACAGCCTTCACTAATATGCTTAAAATAGTCTCTGCATAAATATTTTGTGGTACCACCATCAAATAAAGTGTCCTAAATCCCCTTCTATGTCCTGTGCCAAATTTCCTTTTGTGCATAATACTCCTTTTGCAGACTTATGAATTGGTAGATTACAGACTTATGAATTGGTAGATTAAATTCTAATCGGATATTTAGAAGGAAGTTAGCTTCCATATTTATAACTGTTGGTGATCCTAGTGGAAGCAACCGTTTCTCGTTTACTGAAAGAGACAGTACCACAGATCAATGCACATCACCAAGAGTACAGACAGATGTTTCTGATGAAATCAGAATTCAATTTTCACAAGCAAGGAAAACAATGCATTCAAAGAAAACTCTCTTTTTTTGGCTCCAAATCTTCACTTATATGAGACACCTAATGCTGTTTACATATGAGTTTTTAAAATAGAATAGCAAATATAAAGCTATCTGAGACTCAGTTTTCCCTAATGGATTAACCATTTGATTACTGCTTCACAGTAATCCTTAAAGCATGAACTAAAACAAAGACAAATATATAATCAATATTCTACACTGGTTATAAACAATTGATTCATGATATTCTTAAGTGGAAGCCAGTGAATTCTATCCATTTTGTACCTTGTTTAATTAAAGTGTTTTAAAATTTTAGCTTAATTATGTGAAGAGAATTTCCCATTAATTGATTAGTTAAAAATCTATTCTATTTTTCATGCACTGGTTTTCCAACTGCGGAGCATTCTCTGATTTTTCTTTTCCATTCTTACACACAGCATCTTGCAGCCCTGTCAGAATAAGACAGCTGTACTGTTTTAGCCATAATAATGCCAGCTATTGATCCCAGGAAGAGGAGAAAGAAAGCCAGAATGTGCTTAATGGGGCATGGCTGCTCTCCACTATTTTCTTTGCTAAGGATAAGGCTGATTTAAATAATGATGCCCTTTTCTTAGTCACTAGGCTCACACATTCTTATACATTAATTATTACTAACTATTAGTGCTAAATACATACCTAGGTTTATCATTTAAAATATTATCAATAAAGGGAGTAAGAATATTAAAGTCTGCTGTTGTTTTCTAATTCAAAATCGTGTAAGGATGCAATGTTTTGTTTTGTAAATTATCCTCTTTTGAAACCATGCATTTGCTCTTTGAAAATGTGTTGTATGTGTTTTGTGTCGTTTTAAGAATGAATCACAATCTTAACCTGGACTTCCTTGTCCCGCAAGTGTGCCCTCCTCCTTGGAGCACTGTGTCTACTGTCGCGTGAGCTCCAATGCACATGTTTTGGGAGAAAGTTCTAGATTCAAAAATTTAAGAAGCTTTTATGGTTCACAATCAGCACCAATGAATTGCACTGAAATATTCATTTTGACTTGAATTGGATCCCAGAATCTTGTACAAAACAATTCCCCTGGCTCTATGAAAACTCTAAGCAAGTGTTTTCATTCCTCCATATCCAGAAATCACAAAGCAATGAATATTATCATCCTATAAATCCATTAAGTTGTGATTAATAAATGCAACAATCGTTTCTATAGTATTTATATTTTTGATACCCTCTCTACATAATGCACTCTGAGAAAAAGATAATTTTATTATCTTTTAATTCCATTTTTCCAGGAACTTTTTCAAGTGCCCTTGATGTATGTGCCCTTGACCTCCAATAGGACTGATCGAGTGGAAGGGAAAACTAATATGTGAATAACATATTCTTGTTAGTGAGGGAATTTCTTTTTTTCAGGAGCTAGACAGATACTAAATAGCTAATATCAAAATTGTCAACTGACACACAAGACTGTTATTTTCCCCCTGTAACAATCAGTGTAGGTGATAGCTCACAGGATTACTGGGAAGATTCAATAAAAACACTAAGGCCAAATGCCTGGCACCCTGAGCCATAGTGTGTGCTCGCTCCATACGGTGAAGACTCCATCGGGCCTTTGGTTGATAAAGCGCTTGCTTGTCTTCTCCAGCCAGGTCAAATAGCTTCACAACAAATCCCCTTTGGTCTGAAAAATCTTACCAGTATCATATGTATTCCTTAACGAAAATGCATGGCAGACAGAGAAACTTGACTTCAAGAATATGTTCTTACCTTATCAAGGGAAAAAGTTTTAGTCAGAGCAAAACCCCATCCTGCTTCAAACGCTCTTCTCATCATCGACGCACTGGTAGTTGGAGTGGCACTAGCCAGCCCGAAAGGATTGATAAATGTCAATCCAGCCATTTCGACACTAATGTCCACCAGATCGATCGGCGTGTAGAAGAGGGGCAGTTCTGGCTTGGCAGAAACTGAAGCTCCAAACTGTGACTGCAAAACACAAAACCGCCAATCATTGGTCTTGGATCACATCCGATTTGCCCCTATAACCCCTTAGAAAGCATCACCTCAGCACACTGGTCAAATTAGTATAGATTAAACCGTTCTGTTCACCGTGATGAAACCTGCCAAGAGTCACTCAGCAGTGAACTGGATTCCTGTGACAACCACCTTTTTGAGTCTAAGAGGGAGCGTGCACACTGTTAACAGAAGTGAAATCAATTAAGCAAATGAAAAACTCTCTTTAAAACCACTTGAGATTCAAGCACAACCGGAAATGATGTTTTAATTTACCTACCTGGTCCTATTAACCCTTTGCACTTCATTTGTGCAAACGGTCTTTATTGTTCAGAGATATGGTCAATAGCTAGTCAAGAGGCCTAACTTAAATTTCCAGTAATCTCCTTAGTGTTGATATGATATTAAGGAAGCCACCTGACATGTCCCTGTCATTTTTCCTCTGCAGTGTTCAGTATAGCAGCAGGAATACTGGTTTCCTAATTCCTGACTCATAGGGATATTGGAAAATGCAAGAAATAAAGCTATCAGGCGGTGGGCATCTTTTGGAAAGTGGGTAAGTGGGTAATGTATACACACACACACACACACACACACACACACACACACACACGAACCAACATGGTACCATGCAGTTAATGTGAAAATCCTCAATTGGCATTCAAAACTACATTTCTCTTCCTAAAATGATCACTATACTGATGTGACCCAAAGGATTTTGGGAAGGAGTCAATGAAAACACTCCTGCAAAGTGCATGGCACACAGAAGCAGAGTAGGTGCACATTAAACATTCTTAAAGATCTCATCGGGTCTTTTGTTTGAAAAATCATGCTTCCAGCCCTTCTCTTCTCTTTTCTTCTCTGCCTTCCATTCCCTCCTCTGTATGTTTATCTCTGAAAGACAAATAATACTGGGAAATACAGAAAGGATGGATTTGTCTCAACCACGGTGGTTACTGAATGGACAGAGCGCCCTAATTCAAAAGTAAGAAATCCATTCTCTTAAATGAATCATCACTCAAAGGAAAAGTTATTTGAGCAGAACTTTAATTTTACAGGAGTGTGTTGTGTGTAGATAAAGATTGCCATGCCTTGCATAGAAATTATTTCTGGCCTGCCACCATTTATAATGCAAAGTAGGGTTCCCTTAATATGTGAAAAAGGCAGCAAACTTGCCCACTGAACCATTAATGTGCCTCCGGCCTCGACAGAAGAAGTAGCCAAGGTGCCTGGCCTTCTCCATGGCCGACCCTTCTGGCAGAGGGTGCTCTGGGTGTGGGAACGTGTTTCTGAACAGAGGTCAGTACTGTGAGCAGAAGTTCTCTTGTCCTCACACGGGATTTTGTTAACAGTAAAAGGATTCATAGCAAAATCAAAAGCTAAAATGTATCCTGAGAGTGAATGGACGATAATTTGAGGTCTGACAATTTTAGGAGTATATGAGGGGAGAATATGGGTGTGTGTGTGTGTGTGTGTGTGTGTGTGTGTTGTGTGTTCATGTGGGTATGTGGAGGAATGAGTGTGCAATAGGAACCACTTTGGGTAGTATATTCTTAGTTCTGTGTGGTCATAATTTAAATTGAATAAAGCAACATTTAGGTTAGATTAAAGAACAACTTCCTGGGAACAGAGGTTAGTTAAGACTGGGAAACACGGAGAAGTACCCTTCCTACTTGAGGAGTCATGTAACAATATCAGGTGGCTTTACGACTGGCGTGGGTAGCAGAACTGCATAGAGTCCGATATTTGGGATGATACGCAGGCTTTCTTCTCATTTCATAGTTTGGTCTTCAAATATCTATTTTCCTGTTGAATGCATTTTTCAGAATTGTTAACTATATATGGAATTATGCAATAACTCAAGAAGGAGGCTGACATCTTTTGTATTTCAACTGGCATTTCTTAATTTGTGAAGTTTTAAATAAACTAAGCCTAGCTTTGAAAATCTAGTGATGGTTTTCACCTACCTACATAGAAAATAAATGATCTGGACAAACTTTATATGATTTTCTTTAAGCTGTAACACACACACACACACACACACATAGCAAATCAAACTAAAAAAGGGAAAGGAATACACACAGAGAGAACTCTTCAAAGAAGAAATACATCTTTTATACATTTTTCTTTTATTGACAAAATGATAGCTACTAACATGTATGTATATGTGCAACAGGAAAAATTTTAAATCTCATTTGCAATAGGCAGTCTTTGTCCACACTGAGTATACCCATGGTGATTTTGTTTTGGTCTCTGTGGGTTTTTTCATGGTGCTACATCATCCAGGCAGTTCACCTCACCACTACCCACATCCTCACTCAGATACCTTTTGCTGAAATTGAAAAGAATTTTCCCTCTTTGTGCCCTTGCTCAGAAAACTCATGTACCTCAAATTTTAGCTCTCACCACAAAATTACTCTTCTCAAATCCTAATCTCAACTTTTAAATTCAGATTTCCAAGAGATTCTAAAACCTTTTGGAGGTGTGTCTTCATTACTGTAAACCAACCTATTCATAGTTACTTCCAAAGCAACAATGACCAGGTTTTTAGTTTCTGATCATTGTTCCTTCAGTCTTCCAAGAGTGTTAGTCAATACCAATAACAGACACACAGACAGCAATCTGGATGCTGGATAATTACATGATTCTATAAATGAATGCATGACTTCTATTAGGATTAATATAGAAAAAATGAATGCATTGAAATAAAAGAACATTTTTAATGCACTATGTGATAAAATCAGTATGGATTACAACTCAGTATAAAAAACAACAAAATCCTTACAACTGGACCAATAGGGAACATCATGATAAAGAGAGAAAAGATTGAGTTGTCAAAGAGTGTGTCCTCCTCATGGAAAAGGCAGTCAAAAGACCAAAGACCTGTTGCATTATATAAAAGTCTGCTGCACAAGACCTCTTCAGGGTTTTGGAATGCAAGGATGTTACTTTGAGAACAAAGGTATGCCTGACCCAAGCCATAGTCTTTTCAACTGCATGTGAAGTTGGACATTGAAGAAGGAAGACTGGAAAAGAACAGATGCATTGGAATCACAGTGCTGGTAGAAACTATTGAAAGGACTATGAATTGCCAAAAGGACAAAGAAAACTCTGTCTTGGAATCTGGCCTGAATTCTATCTGCTTAGAGGTACAGATGGTGAAAGTTCAACTTAGATACTTTGGGCAGGTTATCAGGAGAAGCCAGTCCCTGGAAAAGGACATCATCCTTGGTAAAATAGAGAGGTGGTGGAAAGAGGAAGGCCTTCAACATGACGGACTGACACGCTGGCTGCCGCAATGGGCTCAGGCACAGGAACGATTATGCATTTTGATTTTTTTGAAGGGAGGTGAGTATTGAGGGTGAATTTTTGTACTGCTTGGTGTGTCTATTTTGAGAAACCCAACTAATATTTCCAAAGTCAGTCATGTTGCCAGCTCCTCCAGCAAATTTCTGTGGTTCCTCCCAAAATAATTTCCTCATCATAACCTGTACTTGTTTAGACACAACACTGTGTCTCCCATTTAATTTCACCACGCAAGACTTTGCAGAACGAGTCAGATATTTTATGTTGAGTGTATCATATTAATGACCTTTGGTATCTTGCCTCTTTTTTTTGCATAAGATCCCAGTAAGCTTAGAATGAGTTTAGATGAGATAAACATAAATTTTGTTTCAAATATGTGTGTGTGTGTGTGTGTGTGTGTGTATATATATATATTTATATTCATATGTGTGTGTATCCATAATGTTTATGGTACCAGTGGTACCACTTGTCCTCAGTTTGTCATATTGTGATGGCTGTGTTTTGTTGTGATTCTGGATGCCGTGTCATCAGTATTTCAAATATCAACAGTGAACCCCAAAGTGAATAGCTTCCATTGGAAATTACAAAGAACACCCTAGGAATAATGAGTAGGTAGCCCACTTCTAAAGATTTTCCTCTGAAAACTTTCTAAATAGCAGAAACATTATCAGACAGAGTGCCAATGATGAGCACTATGAAAAATATTCTAAATATGACTGGGAAAGAGCTGTCTCTTCAGAGTAGAGTTGATTATAATACCAGCGATGCACCAAAGCTTTTGAGACCCTCATTTGCTGAGGGGTACAACTCAAAATACAAAGGAGCAGCAGCAACCATCCATTAATAATTAGACCATGGAATTCACAAAGTATAAATATAGGAAAATTTCAAGTCATCAACATTTAAATGAAATACATAAATACTGATACCCTAGGCATTAATGAGTTGAAATGGACTGGTATTGGCTACTTTGAGTTGGGCAACCATAGTTTACTAAGCTTGAAAAAGAATGTGATGAAGCCAAAAGAAATGGCATTACATTCATCATCAAAAATAACATTTGAAGATAAATTTTAATATCCAATGTGATCTGCAATAGGATAATATCTATGTACCTCCATGTAAGTCCTCATAATATAAACACTATTTAAATGTATTCACTAGTGACTAAACTAGTGGCAAAAAAAATTAAAGAAGTCTACTAATTTCTTTATTCTGAAATTGATCAAACAAGCAATCAAAATTCATTGATAATTACTGGAGGTGATAATGCAAAATTTAGTGGCAAAGAGGAAAGTTCAGTGTTTGAAAAATATGGCTTTGGTAATAGAAGCAAAGCTAGAGATAGTGTGATGGCATCTGGCAAGACTTCTTCATTGCAAACACGTTAAACATTTTTAAATGATAACAAGAAATTAACAAGTAAATGCTTCAACGTGCTAATCAAGCATTGGAAGTACTCACTAGTACGCTTGGAAGACCGTTATCTGGCCAGTCAACTAGAAAAGATCCATATTTGTAACGATTTCAAAGGGGGAAAAAGTATAATAACAGAATGGGGGAATTATAGAACAGTATTATGAATATAACCTGAAAGTTATATTAAGGGTAGTAGTAGCAATATATTGTAGCAGTATGTTGATAAGGAACTACCAGAAATTCACGCT